GGGGGGGGGGAGTGGAGGGATGGTTAAGGAAAGTCGAAGATTCTCAATTTTCACCGAAGCTGAAATACTTCGCCAAACAGTCGGAGTTTTAGGGTTGCTACTTACTGAGGGGGTTTCGAAGGGGATGTACAGTGGTTGGTACCATTGTCAAAGGGGGTGAAAGTCCTTGCTTGTACTAACTAAAATTTATACACTGTCACTGCTGGGCGAAAGAGTCGGATACTTTAGGGGATGAAAAGTTCGTCTTAATTGTCGAAATTTCTCAAGCTAATTTTAACATGGACGAAAACAGGGGGTACCAACGTTCCAGTCACCGGATAAATAGTATACTTGGGGTGGTGGCGGGAGGACGAGGGGGGGGGGGGGCGTAATTGGTATATTTCAAACGATAATTTTAGATTAGCGTCCCATCCCTTATTTATGTTCATCCCAATCTTCGCTGCTGGTATCTCACGATTACTTCACTCGTTAATTAATTTGCGATTAATTATTACGGTTCTAGTAATTTTTTTTTGATATACGTATATTTTTTTGGAATTCGAATCTTTTTTTTTTTATTCTCACACAGTATATAAGGCAATTCCATGTAGTCGTGTAACACGCTTGTTTACCTATGTGCCTCGTTATTCTAATGGCTGTTCATATAATATATGTATAGCGTATCGGTATAATTATTTGCAATTTCTTTGATACGGCGAAAATTATTCATGCAAATTCACCATTCAATGGGAAAACGAGTTTTGCTTATGGATTCCCGTTCAAATATTAACACGGAAGGCATGTTCGCATAAAAGCAGATTGGAACTTGTATTTACCGTATTCTTGTGAAATATGGAAATTGTGCGTGGATCGTACGTAGCCGTGCAGCACATATTATGCAGACTACACAGCATATATATATATTGTAACGTATACATCTTAATAATAGAGATTGCCAAGATATAATTTCGCTTACCTAAATAACCTTGCATATAGAAACAGTAATGTAAATTAGGCTTCGTGGACGCGTGTAAATCCCCCCACTCCTCGGGCCACCTCCTCCACGATTTCAGGATAGGTATATAAAGGGCACTCGAAATCAATCTCGAGGCATTCGGCCATTAGCGCTTAGCTGGTCTACAGGAATTGTAAACGAGCAAACCCTCTCGGGCAAGGTGGGAAACCGCAACATACGTAAACCACGTGGAGTAAGGTGGCAAGTCGACCCCTCACAACTTCTTTTCAGTGCATTTGGGATGGGACGTTACACAGTGTTGCACTATCGTCACTTATACGCTTTTGTTGACGGATTCCAGTCACTTTATTATTATTATTAACATTCCACTTGCCAAACGTACAATTTTTGATTCTTCTCGTAAACTTTTTGACCATATTAAAAACTACTGGAATTTGTTCACTGGCACGACCATCGATCCATTCAAGTTAACCCATGTTCGCATAAAAGCAGATTGGAACTTGTATTTACCGTATTCTTGTGAAATATGGAAATTGTGCGTGGATCGTACGTAGCCGTGCAGCACATATTATGCAGACTACACAGCATATATATATATTGTAACGTATACATCTTAATAATAGAGATTGCCAAGATATAATTTCGCTTACCTAAATAACCTTGCATATAGAAACAGTAATGTAAATTAGGCTTCGTGGACGCGTGTAAATCCCCCCACTCCTCGGGCCACCTCCTCCAC